CTCCTGGGCTCAAGCCAGTCTCCTGCCTCAGCCTCCCAAGTAGCTGGGACCACAGGAGCCCGCCACAGCGCCCGGCTATTTTTTGGTTGCAGCTGTCATTGTTGTTTGGCAGGCCGAGCTGGATTTGAACCCGCCACAGCGTTCGGCTATTTTTTGGTTGCAGCCGGCATTGTTGTTTGGCGGGCTGAGCTGGATTTCAACTCGCCACCTTGGGTGTATGTGGCTGGTGCCTTAGCCACTTGAGCCACAGGCACCGAACCAAAAGGTGGAAAATTTTGAGAGAATCTATAACAGCAAGAATCATGGTTAAGAGGATATGATTTGGGGTGGTGCCTGTGGCTCAGTGAGTAGGGCACCGGCCCCATATACTAAGGGTGGCAGGTTTGAACCCAGCCCTGGTCAAACCGCAAAAAAAAGAGGATATAACTTAGGAGGGACACTAATCTGACTTCAAGTACAGGCACAATACTTTGCTACTCTGGTTACTTTGAGAAGGCTACTTAACTTCTATTAGCTTTCTTTTCTTCAACTGTAAAAAGGCATTCAGGATTATCTATCTGTAAGGATAAAATGAGATCAATGTATAGGGATCAATAAATACTAAATGTTTTAGCTCTCTTCCTTTCTTTATGTGGTAAAGTGACTTAAGATTAGCTCCAAGGGGCAGGCTAGCTCTGGTCAGTTCTGAAACTGATGCCACAGAAAAATAATCAAAGTGGTTACTGTGGTATATATACAGTGGAAAGAGTCCCAGACTTGGGACCAGAAAACTTGGCTTGGAGTCCTGAATGTCACCATGTATGACCCTGGAACCCTTTTAAGCCTCAATTTCCATAAAACGGGACATGAGTACCTACCTTACAGAGTTGCTCTGAGTTTTAAATAAATTAATGAATATAAGTGCTTAACATAGTGCTTAGTATAAAATAAGTAATAAGTGTAAGTTTCTTCTTCTTAGTATAATTAGGAAGGACAACTGAAAAAGGTAAGGCCGGGCTTCCCAAACTTCATTCATTCTCATTTCATGTTAGAATTTTTGTCTTGGCTTGGCGCCTGTGGCTCAAGTGGCTAAAGCGCCAGCCATATACACCTAAGGTGGCGGGTTTGAATCCAGCCCGGGCGCCAAACAACAATGACGGCTGCAACCAAAAAATAGCTGGGCATTTTGGCGGGCGCCCAGCCCGGGCGCCAAACAACAATGACGGCTGCAACCAAAAAATAGCTGGGCATTTTGGCGGGCGCCTGTGGTCCCAGCTACTTGGGAGGCTGAGGCAGGAGACTCGCTTGAGCCCAGGAGTTGGAGGTTACTGTGAGCTGTGATGCCACAGCACTCTACCCAGGGGGATAGCTTGAGGCTCTGTCTCAAAAAAAAAAAAAAAAAAAGAATTTTTGTCTTATTCACCTACTAGCACTTGTACTATTACATACTTAGTATTTCGTATGTGGCCCAGCACAGTGGCTCATGCCTGTAATCCTAGCACTCTGAAAGGCTGAGGTGGGTGGCTTGCTTGAGCTCAGGAATTTGAGACCAGCCTGAGCAAGAGCAAGACCCCATCTCTACTAAAAATAGAAAAACTAGGCCAGGTGCCTCAAGTCCAGTGGCTCTCAACCTTTCTAATGCTAAGAATCTTTAATACAGTCCAAAGGGGTCGCGACCCACAGGTTAAGAACCGGTGCTCTAGTCCCAGCTACTCGGGAGGCTGAGGCAAGAGGATCGCTGGAGCTTAAAAGCTTGGGGTTGCTGTGAGCTATGATGAAACCCTGACACTCTACCCAGGGTGACAGAATGAGATGCCATGTCAAAAAAAAAAAAGGTTTTTTGTATGTAACATCTTTTTTCTACCTACGTAAGTTTTTAATTTAAAAGACTCTCTAAATTATCAGCAAATGGAAATCCAGTATTACTTGCCACAAAAAGAAGGAAACTGTTAAATATAATAGAAGCAAAACATTATTATTAAATTTTAAGTAGATATGTCACCTGTGGAAAGTTCTGAGCCTGAGGCTTGCTAACTTTGTTAAAATGAAAGATTAATAAGTGATATGGAGGTGTTAAAGATATAGTAACACTTACCTGACATGGTCTCTGAAAATAATCTGAACAATTGATAGAAATTGTTACTAATTTTAATATAGAAGAGGCATATATCTAGATACCACCTAAACTCTTCTGAAACTCCTGTCTCCGCAGATAAACTCTGTAATGAAGCATGTGAAGAAGAAGAGAAGTTGCCTCCACTTAGGGAAGAAAAATATTAATTACAACTTCTCACATCTCTAATGGCAATTTCACAGTTTGCAAAGCAAACGGGGATTATCACACCTACCTAACTGGATGTTGCAAAAACTAAAAGCAGTAACGCACCCAGTGCCCAGTAGGCACTCTTCCCTACGAAAAAGTGGGACGGTACAGTTCACAGATAAGTCTACCGACGGTAGCGACTAGCCTAACAGTATTAATTCTGGGGGTACTTAAAACGTCCCAGACCCTATACTACGGACTTTACAGACCTCAACTATTTTGATCCCACACCTGCTGTAAAGAGACAGATACTGTTATCATTCTTACTTTACAGAAGAAAAAAATGAAACACAGAAGTAACGGGCTAAGGCCATCCTGCCGGGGGAGGGGGGGCGACGCGAACCCAGGCAAACAGACATAACCTCTGCACTTTCTCGCTCAAGGTCAAAAAGGAGTGAGGTCCGCCAGAAAAGGGGAGGCACTGACCTGTCAGACACTTGTTCCTGGGTGAGCTTCTTGTCGCTCTGCAACAGGATGGACACGTAGTGGCGGATCATGCCCACGAAGAAAGTGATGATAACGATGGGTAGGACCACCCAGAGGCGGATGTTGGAGTCGAGTAGCAGTTCTGGCCCCGCCATCTTCACTGAAAGCCGGCTCCCAGCCGAAAGCAGCCGAAGTTTCCCTTCTCCGGGGCGCGAGAACTTCTCTTCGCGTTCGCTTCTGGACCGCCTCACGCCCCTCAGCCTGACTGGCCCAGGACTCTACCTTAGCCTCGATCCCAGCGCACTGCTTCCAGCTGGGCCGCCCGGCCGCCCACTTCCGGCGGAGAAATTTGACGTCACGCCGCAGGGCGCCTCCGTAGCGTCAGAACCGCGTATTTCCAGGCGGGAAAACCTAAAGCTAGAGGCGGCGACGGCTTGTGCGCGCGTGACTGGAGCGGCGCTCTTGCAGCCCAGTCACTAGAGCCACAAGCGCCCGTCCTGTACTGTGGGGCTCTGTGCCCCGAACCTTGGCTTCTTCTGCGCTGTCGTGTGGGATAATCCCTCCGAGGTACCTCTCTCTACGTTGTTAACATGACCAAACAAGAGGGCTTTACTGCGCTCTCGCTCCCTACTTTTCCGTGACCCTTTAGTCCAGGCAATGGGCCTCATCTCCTGTCTTTTGGGCTTCGCTGGAAGCTGGTTGGAATCGTACGTGTTACGTGCAGGTTCCCTACAGAGAGATTGCCCAGACTTGCCTTAGTTTTTCCATCTGCAAAATGGCTGATGTTGTAAGTATTGAACAAGTCCAGGGGGCCGAGCGCAGTGCCTCACGCCTGTAATCTTAGCACCCTGGGAGGCCGAGGGGGAGTGGATCGCCTGGTAAGTTCGAGACCGGCCTGAGCAAGAGGGAGACTCCGTCTCTACTGAAAAAAAAAAAAAAAAAAATCAGAAAAGTAGCCGAGCGTTGTGGCGGGCGCCTGTAGTTCCAGCTCTTTGGCAGGCTGAGGCAAGAGAATCGCTTGAGCCCAAGAGACTGAGGTTGCTGTGAGCTGTGACATGGCATCAATCCAGGGCGACTGAGACTCAAAAAAAAGGCAAGGGATAAATAAAAACCTAGCACAGTGCCCAGTCCGTTGCAAACGTTAACTATTAGCAGTTATTTTTTTCTTTATTTTTTTTGAGACAGAGTCTATGTTGCCCTCGGTGAAGTGCTGTGGCATCACAGCTCATAGCAATCTCCAACTTTTGGGCTCAGGCTCAGCCCCTATGGCTCAAGCGGCTAAGACGCCAGCCACATACAGCTGAGCTGGCGGGTTTGAATCTGGGTCCTCCAAACAACAATGACGGCTGCAACCAAAAAATAGCCAGGCATTATGGCGGGCGCCTGTAGTCTCAGTTACTTGGGAGGCGGAGGCAGGAGAATTGCTTGAGCCCAGACAGGATTTTGAGGTTGCTGTGAGCTGTGATGCAACAGTACTCTACTCAGGGCAACAGCTTGAGGCTCTGTGTCAAAAAACATGAACAACAACAACAAAAAACTCTTGGGCTCAAATGATTCTCTTGCCTTAGCCTCCCAAGTAGCTGGGACCACGGGCACCTGCCGCAACGCTCGGCTATTTTTAGAGACAGGGATATCACTCTGGCTCAGGTTGGTCTTGAAACCCTGAGCTCAGGCAGTCCAACCGCCTAGGCCTCCCAGAGTGCTAGGATAAGAGGCCTGAGCCACCCTGCTCAGCTATTAGCTGTCATTATTATAATTAAGTACAGGTGGTAAAGAGTGCAGGTTCTGGAGCCAGATTGCCTGAGTTAGAATCAGTCACTGATTGTGAGAACAACAATGGTACCTACTTCAAAAAGTTTTCTCAAATGAATTATTAAGTATAAAGTACATAAAACAGTTTTGTTTTGTTTTGGTTTGGTTTTTAGCTATTGGTATTTTATCCTGCCCTGACAGCCATTCTCAGTGAATAGTCTTGGAAATTTTATTCTGGAAATTGTGCTGTGCACTAGGAACACTGAGATAAATGAGGCTCTATTCCTGCTTTCAGCCCCATGGTCTGACTCTACCATGTTTCCTCGAAAATAAGACACTGTCTTATATTTATTTTTTCTCAAGAAGACACACTAGGGCTTATTTTCAGGGGATGTCTTATTTTTATTAAGTATAATAACAATTTACATTTATTCAAATAAAGTTAAGTCATCTTCTGGAACCTGACAGGGGGAGACCTTGTTGGTGAGGCTGGCACTAGTTATGGGTGAACTCCTTTCCCCTGGCCTTTAGCATGTGCGCAATAGGATGCCTGCGACTGCGCAAGTGTGAACAGCTTGGAGAAAGGAGCTGTGGCAGATAAAGGGTATTCTAGTCTTCCTTACTGCTCTGCGCTGAAATGCATGGCATGGCTATGCAGATATGTTGCATAGCTATGCCCATCACTAGGTCTTATTATAGGGGTAGGGCTTATATTTAATAAATGCATAGAAATCTTGCTAGGGCTTATTTTTTGGGTAGATCTTATTTTCGGGGAAACAAGGTAGTGTAATATGGTGTGGGTTCCTAAATATACTCTGGAGCCGGGAAGCTGGAGTAGCAAACTCCCTTAGGGAATTCCTTTTCAAGGAAGATGACGTTTGACTGATTCTTTAAGGATGAGTACAAATTTCCAGGCAGATAAATGCATTTCAGATGAAGAGAACACTTTCATGCAAAGGCACTGAGACCAGGAAGGTTCTGGTTTACAACATAAACTTGAAGGTTATATGGTTCAGGTCATCTACTTACGTAGTCTCACTTCTAACTCTCCAATCTTCTTTCTGTTTCATTGTGAGTTTTTCTCTGCCTGTACTATTCTTCTCATACCTCTTCTAACTATTGTCTAATTCAGTGGTTCTCAACCTTCCTAATGCCATGGCCCTTTAATACAGTATCTGTGGTTCGCAAACCTCTGGTCTAATTCAACTTTCCAATCACTTTCTCTGGGAGATTGTCCCTAAGAAATTGTCCCTGTTGACCGGGTGTAGTACCTTATACCTGTAATCTTAGTCCTCTGGGAGGCCAAGGTGGTTAGACTACTTGAGCTCAGGAGTTGGAGACCAACCTGAGCCAGAGCCAGACTCCGTCTCCCAAAATAGAAAAACTAGTCAGGTTTTGTGGCTGCACCTGTAGTCCCAGCTACTTGGGAGGCCGAGGCAAGAGAGTTATGACACAATGGCACTCTACTGGGGGTGGCAAAGTGAGACTCTGTCTTAAAGAAAAAACACCTGGGCATTTGTAGCAGGCACCCGTTGTCCCAGCTATTTGGGATGCTGAAGCAAGAGAATTGCTTAAGCCTAGAGGTTTGAGGTTGCTGTGAGCTATGATGCCATGGTACTCTACCAAGGTTGACAAAGTGAGACTTGGTCTCAAAAAAAAAAAAAAAAAAAGAGTGTGCCTAGATGAGAAAGGGTCTTGAATGTCAGATGGAGAACTACAGGTTTGTTCTACCTTGAACTACAGGCAAGTAGTCTGTGTAAAGAAACAACTAGGTAAACAAGTCATGGCTCAGCGCCTGTGGCTCAAGTGCCTAAGGCACCAGCCACATACACCTAAGGTGGAGGGTTCAAATCCAGCCCGGGCCTCCAAAACAACAATGACGGCTGCAATCAAAAAATAGCAAGGCATTGTGGCGGGTGCCTGTGGTCCCAGCTACTTGGG